GCCCCCGCTCCCCCCTCTCGCCCCTCCTCCTCTCCTCTCCTCTCCTCTCCTCTCCTCTCCCCCTTGCTGAAGAAGGCTGCCCAGGGGAGCCCGGGCTCAGCGCTGAGCTGCAGCAAGGAAGCCATCAACAACATGTCCAGCTATGGGGGCTCCACTGAGGAAGTCTATTTATGGACAAGCTGTCTCCTACCCCTGCAGCAAGGTACTGCCACACTGCACTGGGCATGAGCCCAGGCATTTTCCTCTCCAAACGATCTTGCGTGCCTTCCAACCTCCCCCTCAGTCTCTGCACCTCTCTGCACTGTGATGGAGCTCCCGTCAGTCACCGGGTCCCTCTGACGGCACACTGCTGTGCCTGGCCCCAGGTCCCACCTCAGAGGCACGTGCTGGGATGGGCCCTCAGCTGGGCGTCTGCATGGGGATAGTGCAGGAGCACCGTGTGCCCCAGAGAGATGGCTCCACCTGCCCTCCCCTGCCCCAGCTACAGGGTCTGCACGTGTCCCCTTGCAGCCACCCTTCCCCTCCCACCGCCATCCCTGCCCTGTCTCCCCGCAGGAGGGGACAGGGCTCCTCGGGGACAAAAGTGGCAACTTGCTGCTTCCCATCTCCTCAAGGGCTTGAGGCAAAGGGCTTGTGTCTGCCACGGCAGGGCAGGGCGTGAAGCAGTGGCACACGTTGTGTGCGGGAGGCACAGAGCCCCATCCCATGGGAGCAGGGCAGCCAGAGCAGGGTGCCGGGCGCAAGGTGGTGCAGGGACGGAGCAGGAGCGACACGGGCTTTTGCCTGGCTTTGCTTGCTGAGCCTCTGTGCAGCCAGTCCAGCCTCTCCGTGCCCACACCGTCCCCCCTCTTGCAGGAGTTACAGAATTTGGCCTCCAGACACCCCAACCTGGTCATCATCCCGCTCGGTAGGTGCCCCGAGGTGGGGGTCCCTCGCCCCGGTTCCCCTGGCATGTGCCCGGGTGCTGCGCGCACCCTGGGAGCCCCGCACCGGGAGGGAACCGTGCCAACGGGCCGGTGCCTGCGGGGACACCGGGCGCTGCCCTCCCTCCTGCCCATGGCCAACCCCGAGGGCGCATCCCTGGGGGAACACAGGGGGCTCCAAGCCACCACGGGGTTGCGGGCACTGACCTCCCCTGTCCTGGCTCTGCAGAAGTCACAGACCCCGCCTGCATCAAGACGGCTGCAGCCCGAGTCAGGGAGCAGCTGGGGGGCTCGGGGCTGAACCTCCTCATCAACAACGCTGGGCTGCTGATATACAACACACTTGATAATGAGACGCTGGAGAACTTGACCCAGATTTAGACCACCAACATAGTTGCACCCCTGCTGCTAAGCCAGGTGAGACCCTCACCCGAGCTGGTTTGTCCCGGGGGGTGCAAAGGGCTAGTGGGAGAGGGTCCTGCCTCCGCTTTGGTGCCTGATGGGCTCTTGATTGACCAGAATCTCATGGAGCCGCAGGCTGGAGCGCACGA